ATTTAAATTAATGCAGTCAGCAATGTTGCCACGTCTACCGAATTTTCGGTAGATCTACCGATTTTGGGACCGATCTACCGATTGAAGCACCAAATCTACCAAAAAGTTTACGATAATTCAAGAAAGAAATTTTTATTTTCAATGTATCTAAAAATTCTCAATAAAACATTTTTTTGTATTTTCATTTCTTATATATTGTAAGAGACTTTATTGCAAAGACTCTATCTCGTTTTGTTGAGAATATCTTGTGTCTGCCCATTCTTCAGCTAATGTAGAAAGAATATTTTCGTAAATAAATCTGTTAAACACGAAACAAAGAAATAAACTGAGCTCTGAAACAATCACTGGCTTACTTCTTACTAAACAATTAATTGGAAAAAATTACTGTTATGATTTTCCTATAAAAGATAATTTAATTTCAAAAATAACAAACAGAGTGTTAAAAAACATACAAACAGAAGATATTGAATAATAATTATTATTATTAATATCCGAAAAATAAAATGTAATATTTCGTTAGAAAAATAAGACAAAATGTACTGTACTGTACCTACTTACTTAAAATATAATAATTTACTAATTAAGTGTTCTGTGTTAGTTTTTTTATTGTTTTATAGTTTATAATAAAATAAATGACAAAAAAATGTTATTGTTTATGTGTAACCTCCTTTCTGCCACAAAAGTCGATCTACCGAAAACTACCGGAATATATCGAAAATTGCTTAAGGAATCTTCCGATAGCAAGCAAATCTGCGTGGCAACATTGGTAGGCGGTGTTTCTAGAGCGAAGCTGATGATTTCTTTCGTTCTCAATTAGTTGGTTTTTTTGTTATACTGTATATATTAAAATGATTTGGTGTTCCGTACCGAATTGTAAAAATTCAACAGCTAAAGGTGTAAGATTGTTTCGTTTTCCCTCTGAATGGTATCAATATTGCAAAAGGGATAAATGGAAACCAACTGAGAATTCGAACTTGTGTGAGGTTAATGGATGAAATAATATTGAAAATATAAATTTACGAAGTATTTAAAATAACTTTTTTTAATGTAATGTAACCAAATTTTTTAGATACATTTTGAGGAGTTACAATTTGAACTTAAAAGGGCTGATGGAAGAAAATTGTTGAAATGGAGTGCAATTCCGACCCTTTTTCATGTTCCAAATCCTCCATCCCGTCTGCAATTAAGAAGAAAAACACCGAAAGAAAGAGAATTATCTCCGAATAAGTGCAGGTTTGGTTTAACAAATGTTTTTTAAGACATTAAATATTGCTTTTTCAGATTTAAAAAAATATATTTATCACAAGAACCATATGATATTATCATAAGAAATGTTCACTAATCATTTATTTGTCAGAAACAACTTATTTATATTAATTAAATTATTATTAATATTTATTTATTAAGTATTGTGAAGATTTCTACTGTGTGAGATTTGTAATATTACATATAATAAATGATTACTTGCTTAGAAAACTACAGTAAATAATTTTCCTCTTCCAGTTGGTGTTTTCTTTTATCAGGAACAACAGCCATACAAGATTGCTTGAATATATTCAATAAGAAAAATTCACCTAAAACTTAGTGCATATTTTATAATTATTATTGCTTTTATAAATTCAAATTTTGATACAAATAATGCCATTTCGTGCATTTCCTGAAGTAACAGTTTC